ATACTCGATGTATAGTGGGTACTGAAAGAAATTGTCCACATTATGTACCTACCATTTGCATCACATTTTCATTTTCTCAAACTCCTCACCTTTCGTTTTGTATGTAACCATCTTGTTAGTCTATGGAGTACGTCGCGTAGAAGAAAACTAATGCTGTCATTCTATGTCGATTGTTTTAACCCTGGCTAATTGTTGCCAACAAATGGTAGCAGAGCGTGGTTCTGCGTGAATATAATTTCGCGATGAAGAAATAATCGGAAAAAAATACAACCACAAAATAATACAAAGAAAATAAAAAGACAAGTAGTCAAGAGCACGTCAAGCTTGACACTGTACTTTGGACCGTTCTTACTGTAAGCGGCATAGAGTTGGATTTAAATCTTAAATGTCAAGCTTGAAGTGCTCTTGACCCTGTACGACAGGCGGCCTTATATACTGTATAAGTTTCTTAAATTAAAAGACAAACCAGCAGAAAACTTGACTTTATTCAGCTTTAAAATCGTACGTGACACAACGTAATAACAATCCATGGCAATAAGCCATAGAGTTGCACATCATTCACCCCTCCCTAGATGTCTCGTACTCATCCAAATAGGCCGGTGGTCTTCTCGACCGCGTGGAGCGCCGAACCTCATGTTGAGCCGGATCTGCAACCCTCGACTCATCAATAATGAGCTCAATGTCACTTTCGGGTGGAGACGAAGCATCGACGAAAACGCTGGGTTCATCATCTGAGGATAATTCAGCATTACTGGATGGGAGTGGTGCTAAGTGCCTGTTTGAAATTGTGTCCTCTCTTCCGTCTGAATATCTGACGTGAGAATAGTTTGGGTTGCTTTATAGGAGTTATCCTTCTTCCACTATGGGGTTAAATTTCGAACGACGTACACTTCTTTTTATTAAGGCAGGACCCGGAGTCATGAGCATGCAAAGATACCCCATTTGGATTACTTCAGGGGTGGTTGAACATCCTTTCAAGGGGAGTAGCATTTGTAGCTGTGCACAACAGCGAGCGTATAGAATGGAACGCTAAGGGTAGAACTTTTTCCCAATCCGCAGTCTCTAACCCTTTGGTTTTGAGGCTTAATTGGATTGTTCTCCATAAACTACCATTTAAGCGTTCAACTTGCCGGTTGCCTTGCGGATTGTAAGGCGTGGTCCTACTGCAGGCAATGCCAAGTGAGACTAGGTGCTGAGTGAGCTCTTGAGACATAAAATATGAAGTTCCCTTATCTGAATGTATGTACATTGGGGTTCCAAAAATATAAAATATTTTGTTAAGGCAATCAATCACGGTACCTGACGTCTTTGCAGGCAAAACCAAAGGGAAAACGACTATATTCGTCAATGACCGTTAGTATATATTTATTCCGTGACTTCTATGGTAATGGCCCTTTGAAATCCATATTAAGCCGTTCCAGGGGAGCTGTCGCTTTAATAAGCTACTCGTTCAACCGTGTATACCGAGGTTTGATTTCAGCGCATACTCGGCAGTTAGCGGTGATTTGATGAATGTCATTAATCGACGTTGTTTTCTTTGCCAGGGCCATAAATTATGTCGTATTTAAAACAAGACAACTCTAATCTCCAACGTTTGTCTTCTCGTTCTTTCCTTTTATTGAATGAGTTTGGTTGAACATAAATGCTACTGACTGTTGATCTGTAATGAGAAGAAAATTCCTTCATATTAGATAAGTGCGCTACTTGCGCAAAGCTGATTAGCGCAGGTATTGGGTTGTTATATTTATGTAAGTGCATGATGTTAAGAAATACTGTTTATTGTCGTTTGTTTAATGCTCGTGTATGATTTGTTTGAAGCTATAGGTTTATATTCCTGTTTTTATTAACTGTAAGAAGCTGTTGGTTTTCCATGAATAAATAAATAAACAATGGATTAACTTTATCCATCTATATATATAGATGGATAAAGCGTCAACTATGGCAGCCGCTTCTTTCTCAATAGAAGATTGCCGCTTTTCTGAGTCTCTTCCTTCTCTTCCGACTATAATGTAACGGGCTGGCCCACGGAAGAAATATGTGGTCTGTGGGCTGGCCATTTTGTGTGAGGGAAGCAGCGAGAGCATGTTCTGACGCGTCCGTTTCTACAGTAATCAAGCCATCTTCATTGCCGGTTGTCGTCTGATTTGATCTTATTACTCTCAATGGTATAGCCAAGAAGATTGATTGATTCTTTACTGTATACGCATTTGCTTTCATTGAGTGTGAGATTGTATTTAGCAGCAGCTTCTCTAAATTTAGATAAATTTATGTCATATTCATGTTTAGTTTTCCCACAAACCGTTACGTCGTCTAGATAAGCAAATATACCTGTTAAGGCTTCCCTTTCGATTATATGGTTCAGCGCACGCTGGAAGACCGCGACGCCATTTGTTACTCCGAAGGTAATTCTTGTAAATTTAAAGTTTGCCGTTCGCCTCAAATGCGGTGAAAATACGTTCTTTTGGGAGTCATAGGTACCTGATGATATGCACTTTTTAAATCAATCTTACTGAAATGATTATTTATACAAAGATCGAACACTCAGAAAAAATTCCTTCGATCCGGTCGGATTCGAACCGACGTCTTCTTGCATACCATGCCAGACGCTATACCAACTAAGCCACGGAACGAACCAACGGACCTCACGAATTTTTCTATGTGCTTGCGTCGTGTCTTTGTACTTGGTCTTTCAACGACTTTTTAGTCGTTTACGTTTAGACATTTTACTGAAATGATTATATTTAACTACTTTTGTGACAATTGTTTCAATTTTTGGCAATGGGTAGGCGTCAAGCTCTGTATATTTGTTGATAGTTTGAGAGTAATCTATTACCATTCTCTTCTTATGTAGACCTCCACCTGCGATTAAGACTTGTGCTCGCCAGGGTCAGACACTGGGTTCGATGATACCGTCTTTGAGTAGTTTTGAAACTTCTGTGTTTATAAAAATCTCGTCCTCTTTGTTATGGTGTCTCCATCGAACCGCTATTGGTTTTATATGCGGTGATAAGTTAGTAAACAGGGATGCATGCGGTACTGAGGCTACTGTAACAATACAACTTGAGTGCCTCCAAATTTCAGTACCAATGAGGAATGGTTTTTGAGAACGTCTTGACCGATAATGACACCAGCACAGAGATTGTCGACAATTAGTAGAGGTTGCAGTTTATATTGGCACTTTCATATCACATCAGATGTCTAAGAGTGATTTTTGGTAGTTGCAAATCAGATTCCTTTCTCGCTTTCTCAGGGTTCCTCTGGGCTTATGTCCACTTAGGTCCACTTCTTTTTTTTTTTTTTAGAAATGACCTCGATAGTTTTATCATATACCAAATTTACTTTTTTTGTAGATGACTTAAAAATATACAAAACCATTGATGGTTTAAATTACTCAGTTTTGCTACAGGAGGATCTCAAAACAATGTCAGTGTGAACTAGAGATAATAAATTACCCTAGATAATAAATATCAAAAAGTGTAGTAGTAGTGTGAAGTTGACGGCACACTTTTGCTTAATTTAGAACATGCATCTTCCATTTTACCAAAATCAAATAGATAGAATAGAAATTGTTCAAAAGCGACATGTCTTTTTCCTCAGGGCCCATCAACGAATGAGGGATACGAGGACTGACTACGTTTTTTTTTCAAATTTATACCTTTCAATGTCACCGCTGCGCTGGGCTGCTGATCCAATTTTTTATATTGTTTGGTTTCGGGGCAAATTGATTGCTCTGAATGGTTTAGAATGAATGTTAACTCCAACGCTATTATGAACTGAATCTGCCGAGGGTACAATATACAAAACATAAGTTTAAACATAAGTCGTCTGATTTGGATTTGTTTTGGCTCTCACTATGTAAATTGAAAACTTCTTTATGTACCTTACTGCTCAGCTGTATATAACAAAAGTGTACAGTTTGATGTGCTGTTACCTGTACAACGCCACAATACCTACT